CCATGGAAATGAAATAGCTTCTTGGATACTTTTCTACATGCTGCTGCTAACTGTTCTGAAACGCGGGGCTCGGAGAGACATTTGTGTGCTTCTTCTGGTGTGAAAACGTCCAATGTGAATAGCTTCTGAACTTTAACCATCCTTGTTGACACGGAAGAGGAATCCCGAGCAAGGACACATATGGAATGCGCTTACATTCATGGACCTACACACTGAATTTATTGATAGTATCGGGCGGAAAATCAATTTTAAAAATACAGACTAAGAGGTGGCCAACACATCTGGTTTTCAAACAGAAAATCCGGAAGCCCGAACAGGTCTGTGGGTGCCAAGAAGCCAATGAGGAAGCGTGGTGTTCAGTGTTTCATGTGTGATCTGATGTTCTCTTACCTGCACCGGGGAAGTTGGTGGCAGGAAAATGATTCTGAGGCACATGCTTTGTCAAGGTGGGGACGGGAAGCGTGAAAGTTTGGTGCGTATACTCAGTGTGCCTGCTCCACCCCACCCTACCCTCACCCCACCCCCACCCCCGCCACACACCCCCAGGGGAAATATGACACCACCTTTGTTTCATTTGGCCCCGGAGGCTGGGAAAGGCTGAGGAAGACCACAACGGTTAGGAGGATTTAAATGCTCTCCACCGGAGTTCTGCTTTAATTCTCTTCACTCGAAGTTTCTGGCTTGCTGCTTGATTGTTCACGTGGCATTCATTTCAAAATGCAATTCCTTGCTTCAGCTTTTTAAATTCTGATGGCACTGGCATTAGCAAAGAAGGTGACAAAGCCGTTGACATGTTGACATCTATCCCTAAAAGGACAGAGCTTTCATATTTTTTTTTAAATAAGAATGTGTCCAAAAGTCAGAGACTTCAGTGAAAGTAGAAATGGGAAATGCTGAACCTGAGGCACTTTCTAGTAACAAATGACAGCTGAATCCACTGTGGGGCTTTAGGTTTCCATAGAAGGCTCGTGGACCATGACCCTGCATGGAGAGTTGGCTGGAACACGGATGTAATCGGGTCCCTAAAACATCACTCCATACCAAACATTTCGGAGCACATATAACTTGGCCTACAGATGCCAGTCTCAGCTCCCACGAACAGGTAAGGATAAGCTCAACTATGGCTTCTCAGGATCACCCATCCTTCTCTAATTATCCAGTTCTGCTTAGAAGTCCTTGTGAAAATCCTCCCAGCCCTAAGAACTACAAGTATAACATCGGAAATATTCTCTGTAGGGTTTAGCTTCAGCAAAGCCAGGTCAGGCTGGGAGAGAGAGCTGACATCAGATGGCATCAATCTGGAAAATGCACACTGACTTTCTTCCAGACTACAGACGATGGCTCTGTTTGTAAAACGTCAAAACAACTGTGTGATTAAGTCAGCTCGGTCAAGAATCTCTCAGGGAAGTTGCTTAGAACATCAAGACAGACTAGCTAGTCACTGCCTTTTTACTTTCCACATGTGAACTGTATGGCCTTAGGTACATGAGGAGTAAGCAGGAGGCAGGAACCATAAACTCATTTTGTATTTGCCAAAGCCAGGCCAGTCTTTGTAACAGCGGCCAGACAGCCACAAGGCCAGGGAGGGCTCATCCACATCCTCGGGTATACCAGACACCAGCTAGAGCTCTCGGTGATTCTCCATTCTCTGAGAACAACCCTGACCCGTAGGAATGGGGCCCCAGCCATCATGTCTGTGTCCCATGGCCCAGTGGCTTGCGGAGTTGTCAGATCCAGGGGAAAACGAACCCAAGATGGATGGGTCAGGGCCATGATCCACTGCCCGCAGGGTAGGTAAAAACGTTAGCAGTTTGCTCACAGATAGTATTGTCCTTTAAAATCATCAGAAGTATAAACTGGCACACCTGCCATGGGTGAGCCAGACTCGTTGGAGTATTTCTACAGAATTGGAACTAAAAAGGGGGTCATCTCTTCTCTGGAGGTAGAAGCCATGGGGCAGGACCTTCGCCCTGTGAGCAACCCTATTCTCCACCAAGCCAGAGATGCTGGTCTGCAATTCATGGAGGGATGAGAGACAGATGCAGACACAGTCCTGGAGACATTGGACTCTTGGGTCCAACTGCTCCCTCCCCCTTGTGTTGGCAATTATATGAGGCACCCCTTTATCCTTCCAATAAATTCTCTTCTGCCTGAGCTAACTAGTGTTGGGTTTCTATCAACGTGACACATTGGCGAATTTTCTCATCCTGACAGCTGACCCCACTGGAGGCACCAAGGCCATGGCTGCCCCTACAGACTGGATGTTGTTGTCTTTGTCCTACAATTAGATGATGCTTTGTGTGTGTGTTGGGGTGTGGGTGGGGGGCATGTGTGTGTGTATTGCCTCCAATCACCCATTCATCCCCTCTTTCCTCAAGGATGCCTCTGAGTCACAACCTGTTGTATGTGACACTCAGGTGTTCAAGATTTCTTAAGGACACCACTCCCCATGACCCAAAGTTCACCTTGGCATTCCTGTCCCCTGCTGCAGGCCACATCCTCACCTTCTCTCTATGCGTGGAATTCTGTGCCTTCTGGCTCAATTCCTTCCCATCCTTGTATTACATTCCCCTGCCTCTGCGGTTGCTTGGGATTTCTGGCAGATAATGGTACAAAATTGGCAACGCCCCCTCCTCCATCCAGGACTGTGAACTTTTCCTGTCCCTGAGAACTTTAATAAGCATCCTGTGTTTCTCCTTTCCCTCTCCTCTGTTAGCATTACAGCCAAACCCTCAGACAATGGAAAATTATCTCCTCTTTTTAAAACCCAAGGAAGCCGACTTTAGGGCTTCATTTTGGAATATTTGACCTTGATTTCAATAGACCTTTAGGATCTTATTTCTGAAGATTATATATAGAGAGAGGCCCTTCACGTTCTCAGATTTAATACTCACCATCTCTCCATATGGCAGACATTTTTTTTTTTTTTTTTTTTGGCTGCAGAGCATCTCAGTTTCCTTCCTATAGTTGTGAAATTAGTGGGAGACAGAAAGCTCGTTCTATGGGAGCTGCAAAGGTTGATATTCACTCTTCTAGTTAGAGCCCCAGCACCCAAACTAGGCATGGCCCATCAGATGCACGCCTCTGGGACTGAGAATCAGAAGCTAATTAGTCCAAGAAGGGATCATGGATTATCCATTCTGTTGGTAGCAGCAAAGACAACAACATCCAGTCTGTAGGGGCAGCCATGGTCTTGGTGCCCCCAATGGGGTCCAATGCCCAATAGCAGGGCAGCAGTGTCCATGTTGGACAACTTCTGTGGCATTGATATTGGCTGAGGATGGGCTCCCCAGCTTCACGGGCTGCCTGTTCATTTTCTCAACAAGGTTTCCAGCCTTCCCCACAGATTCTGCAATGTCCCCAGTGCCCTTTTGTAGTTAAGTTTTTCACAGCTAGAAACTATTAATGATGCACCTTCAAAGTGTTCATGATAGGCAGAAATTTATCTTTTTTCTTGCAGCACATATATGAAATATGTAATCTGGAAGGCTAACACATATAAGATCTAGTTGATTCACTGATGAGTGAGCCTAGCTGACTTCCAGTATCCACGACTCAATTCAACTTTATTCTCTCTTGTGAAATGGTAGCAGACAGCTTGTTTCTTTTGGGGGGAGGCAAAAGTAGAAGTGATAAAAGTACAAAGAAAGGAAGAAATGGTTCTACCCAGAAAGTAACTTTATTCATGACTTAAGTCCTGTGCATAAAATATAATCATAGCTCTGTTGGGATCACTGCAATGATGCTTCTCCTATTGTATGGGGGAAAGTATAGTCTTAGAATTCTTATTACATTCTTATATTTGGCTTATCAACTAAACCAGGAAGGTATTGACAGTGAAAAGAGATGCTGTTAATGGAAATGTTGAGACAACAGACAGAATGGTCAGCCTAAGTAGTAGAGACCTGGATATTCTAGAAGGTCTTAGGGTCTACCAGGCGCTGAGTTACCTGTGGTGGCACCTACCCCATAGCACTCCTTCCTTCTTCCTCAACCAAATTCTAGTTCTTTTTCCTCAGGTCCAAAGCTGGAGATGGACAAGTGTCAGCATGCCTGCCCCTCGCTTGCACCCCCATATTTATGCATCTGGTGACGCAGTCTACATTTCCGCACGTTCTTACGGGGGTGATTTCCATAGCAATGGCAGGAATATAAAAAAGGCACCTGAGTGATGCTTTAAAGATAAATCACCTTCTTTAAGAAGCCTTACCTCTGGGGAGCAACAGGCTATTGCCTCTAGAGTTTCTTAGCTCCCTGCCACATATGTACATTTCCAACCGCAGCTCACAATCTTCTGGCTTAATTAATTACCAACATGGTAGCCTCCTTTTTAGGCCAGGAGATAAAGAGAGATCCTTGCTGGACAGCTGTTGTTTACAGGTGTTTTATGAACCAAGAAGGAAAAAAACTTGCATGTTTGGAGTGCCTACCACACACCTAGCACATTGACTTATTTTGTCTCATTTTCATAGTAACTCAAGCAGAACGAGGATACTTCTGCAGTGCAGGCTGAGTCTGTGCAAAAGTGGCAAATTCTACATCCAACATCTCATTCCTGTGTCTCATCACCAAGAAAGCCAGAGAGGAGAAAGCATGAAGTAGGTAGAGGGGGTCTGCGTCGGCCAGGGGACATAGGCGTTGGAGGGAGAGCAGAATGCATGCGGCTCGGCCTGGCTATTCTGTTTCCAAACTCTTTGCCTCATTAGAGCAGAGGGAATGAAGGGAGGAAAGAGTGGTACTGATTCATTTTCTGAGCTGAGAGGGGATGCCCTGCAAGCAAAGGGTATTAACTAATTGGGGTTTGCTTCCTTGACACCTGTCAGCCTCAGTAAGTTTTCTCCTTTTTTAATTTAAGGAAATGTGTGCACAGCATTATCTTTTTAAACAAAGCCCTAGTAATTTTTCACCTCCCTACAAGAATCTCCATTTTTTTTGAGACCCTGTCACCATTTTTTTAAACTTTTGCCCTTTTGAGCACTCATGGAAAAGGTTTTTCTCACCTGTATTTGAAAATTCAGTTCATTCATTTGTTCGTTCATTCATTCACAGGTATTTGTTCCAGTCATGGTGCTTTGGGCTGAGTAAGGCAAAGGGCCATGGGCCCTACCCTCATGGAGCTTGTCATCTAATTGAAAGAAAGAAGTCAGTTAATTATACAGTTACGGAATTACAGATTGGGATAAGAGCAATGAAAATAAGGGTACCCGATGGTGACAGAAGTGCTGTGACATGGCCCCCGTTCCCCACATTCTGCCTTTAGTCTTTCCATTTAGAGGATGGATGAGTTAGCACATTGAGACATCACCACGAGTAAGTTCGGTCACATCGCTTTGGTCCAAACAGATGCGTGAGATCAGTGTCCTGAGGAAGTGGGAGGATTTATGGACTCAACGGAGAACAAAGGAACAATTTGGGAGCATTAGACATTGACTGGTAGGTGAACTTGACCAGCGAGCTCCAGAAACCCTATTTGCAGCAAAAAAGCATCAGATGCCCGAGAGGGAAGGAGAAGGACACAGGATGAGAAGCTAAGAGCACAGAAAACAGATCTGTCCTAAGGAGGGCCTTCCCCAACCCTGCACCTACCTAGAGAAAGGACAAATGTAAGGTACAGGGGATGATCTTAAATTCACTTGTCATTAGTACCTGAGCTATTCAAATCTAATTTTCGGTGACTTCAGATTAATAATAGACACAGGTGTTTGGCATTCTCTCTGAAACCAAGTAGCATCTTTTTATTAGAGGTTTTCCAGATGGCTGCATTCGATTCTGCCAACTACACAGATGGGAAGGGTTCCCTTACCTGGACTGAATGTGTACATCCCGTCAGTTGTTAGTTGTCAAGTGTGGTCTCCTAAATGAGATAACACAGGATATGGTTGAGTTAAATGAACATTTTTTATTCTTGGTTATGACTTAATCTCTGGTTATGATTGATTCCTGGTTATGTCCTTAATCCCTCATCTTATTGAATGAGATCAAACAACATGTATACTCGAAGTCTCTCCCCCTTTTTCCTTATTTTAATCCGAAGCCCAAGCCAGGACTAATTATGAAAAATCAGCCCCTTGCTTTGCTTTCCCCTGGGCTTCCACCTGGCCCTGCATATCCCTCTGGATAAAAACAGCTCCTAAGATGAAGGCTCAGCCAATGCTATTTTACAATTCCACAGGCAGAAGTGAAAAGAGAGAGTTTCCCCAGGATTAATTCTCATTCTGTCACCCTTTCCACCAGGGTGTCTATCACCAAGCCTTGGGAAGGGCGTGTGGATCCTCAGCTAAACCCGTGGAAAATCCTCCCTGAGTTTAGAGTTGAGGAAAGAAATTATGCAAACACTCTTTTCAACTTTCCCTTGGGACCGTTCACGCAAGGGCTGTTATGTTTCATAAAGAGCTAATGTGAGTTTCCTCTAGTATTTCCCTTCTCTTATCTCAAACAAGGTCCTGAAGTTCTCTTGGAGTCTGAATTTCAGTGGGATTTTGCTTTGTGTAGGTTGGAACCTTTGTATGTTTTTCAACTTCATTTTAATTTCAGATATGTCAAGGAGCTCTTTCTCTGAGCCTAGGATGGAGTGATCTCGGAAGTGTAGAACTGTGTCTTAACATTTCATTTACCATGTGGCTTCTTGGTAGCCTTTGCAGAATAGAAGTTGAATTAATCAATCATTCAAGTCTAAGGCACCTTCTCTGCTTTCAGGAAATGTAGAATTGGATGAGAGAGATAAAGGCATGCACATATAAAGAAAGATATATAAAGGACCGTGGTGCAATGGGACGTGTTTTAAGTTGAAAATTAAGAGCCTATATCAGATATGGTTCTGCCATTTATAGATGGTGACTCAACATTACTTCCCTGAAACCCAGTTTCCTCATCTGCAATGTGAAAAGTTGGACTAAATAATATCAGATGAATCCCTATAAATTCTACCTGCAGATGATATTTCAAATCTCTCCTCTCGCTTCCATGCCCACTATTACTCCTGTCCAGACTACCACCATCTTGTTCCTATAGCATTGTAAAAGCCCCTGGTCTCCCTGCTTCCGGTCTGGCCTTGCTAGATTTTGTTGTCACAGCTAGAGTAACTTTTTGAAAATACAAATTATATCTTAACACATGCCCCTCCCCTACTACCAAAAATCCTGCACTGGCTCCAACTGCACTTAGAATAAAACATAAGCCACATAGCTGGTCTTCCATGACTCCCATAGCCTGACCTCTGGTTATCTCTCCGACCTGACCACCTTGTGCTCTTTCCCTCATCCACTATGTGATTACCACCTTTTTTTTTTTTTTTTTTTTTTTAGGCCCAAACCATGCCCATAACCATCCTGTTCTTCCATCTAGAAAATTCTCTTCCCAATGAACCCTTATCCTCCGGGCTTTTTGCCCCAGGCATTCCTTACTCTCTCCTTCTCCCTCCAAGTAAGACTAGGAACTGAGGGGGTAAGGAGCAGAAATTAAGACTGGGTTCCAGGCCAACTGAGAAATTAAGTGGAGAGTAATATACAAGTTTCTAACTTGGGAGGCTAATGGAGGCAGGAGAACAGAAGGGGAAGAAGAGTTTTGGGATATGTTAAAGGAACTCTCAGTGGCTTCTTGATAAATCCTTGTCTTTCTTTAGATGCTTCCCTTCTCTAAAATACATAAGCTTTTTTTCACAAAGAAGAGGGTAAGCACATTGTGGCTAAACTGGTTGCTATATTCGGTGTCTGATTTTATCAGTCAGTGCCCCATTCAGATTGGTCAGTGCCCAGCTGATCCAAGTGTTAAATTTTAAATATCATGGCCGCTACTGGTCTTTCAAGTGTCCCACCCCCCTTTCTGAACCATCTCCTGCTCTACGCTGGAATGCCATCCCCAGGCAGAGCTTATCAAAGTTTTCCTTCCAGGGACCCATGAAGGTAGAAATTTCTAGATTAGAGGTTGTGGACCAAATTTATTTGAAGACTCTTTTCTTTTTTTTTTTTAAGATTTTATTTATTTATTCATGAGAGACAGAGAGAGAGAGAGAGAGAGAGAAGCAGAGGGAGAAGCAGTCTCCCAAGGAGCAGGGAGCCTGGTACGGGACTCGATCCCAGGACCCTGGGATCATGACCTGAGCCGAAGGCAGATGCTTAACCATCTGAGCCACCCAGGCGCCCTGAAGACTCTTTTCTTTAAGCCTTACAATTCATCTAAATTTGTATTCTGCTTCATAAAAAATCTGTATTTGTTTTAATATGAAAAATACGTTTTAAAGCACTGTTATGGTTTGCGGCTTAAAGAACAGGCTGGGAAGTCAGAACCTGAAGAGTCTGGATCACTGTTCTGCCACTCAGGAGTTGTATGACCTTGAGCAAGTTACCTGACCTCTCTGAGCCTCCATATTCCTCATGTGGTTGCTGAGCACATACTCTAATACTCTATGGATTGTGAACGCCCTGAGGGCTGGTGTCTGTGTTTTGTCCATCCTCATATTCCCACAGAGACTAGAAGAGTACCCTGTCCATAGAAATCACTTTATATGCGTTCATTCCTCTACATCAGACATATGTGCACCAATGGTTATCCTGTTTTTACCACTAGATGGAGAGCATGTATCCTAGGATTTTTAATCCATTAGTAAGTGAGAGAGCGAACATTTGTATGTAGTATCTTAACTAAATCAACTTATTTATTAATGACAGTATCATTAAAACTAGCTCCCAAAAATGCAATTATAAGATAACTTTCAGAACTAATTGTTCTTAAAATAATTAAAAGGCAAAGGCAAGAGAGAAACACGAACTTCAGGATAGCAGTTAACTCTGGGGATGGCATAAATTGGAATTTGTGGGAGTGGGGAGCTCTAAGTGTATCTATCTGCTGATTTCTTATTTAAAAATAGATTCCAAGCAAATATGTCCGAAAGCGTTAAGCTCAGATGAATTCTGGGTGGTAGTGGTGAATACCCGGATGTAGATCTCTGGTTTTGAAATTTTTCACAATTGCGTTTTTGTAAAGTGGGGGAAAAGACTCAAAGATGAAATCTATGCTTACTGTTTCTATCTCTATACATGCTGCCTAACGAGCTTTTTAATGATTTCCCCAGAGAGCTGCAATTTGCTACAGAAAATACAACAGAGCAAAAACCATACCGTGTCTCTCCCGTTGCCACCTTCCTCCTGAACCTTACATTTTGCCCTGAAGTTAAGTCTTTTAAAGGTCATCACTTCAATTCAGTTGGCTAATTAGTTCCTGTCTCCAAAATGGATTGTTTTCAACTAATTTGAAAGATGTAGAAACACTGTTTCCGTATGTCTGTTCTGGTTACTATCGCTACGTTAACAAACTACCCCAAACCTTCATAGAATGAAATACAATGAAATACCCATTTTACTAGGCTGGTGAAACTTTGTTCCATGATATCCACGGCCTCAAGTTGGAAGACTTAAACTGGGAGGTGACTTGACAGTTGGAAGTAACTTGCCAGTTGGGGATGGAAATCACTGGGGGGGCGGGGGTGGGGTGTCTTTGCTCACGTGTCTAGTAGTTGATACTGGCTGGCACCTGACACTTCAGCTGGGCTGTTGAATAAGCCATCTTCTGGTTATAAACAAGTCACTCTGGTTGGCTCTGATTCCACAGGAGGGGACAGAGATTACAATACTCTCAATGAAAGGGGTGTCAAAGAATTTGCAGGCATATGATAAAACCATCACAATATCCTCTTAACTCTGCTATTAAAATGAAGTGAAACTGATAAATCTGGACCCCAATTCCTCTTTGTCCACTCGAGTGATCTACACAGAGGAGCATTTGAGTCTCTCCACTAAATTATCTAGGAACATGTCTGGTCAAGTTCAGGCAGCTCAGGTTTAAACTAATAGGGTAATTCATTTTATCAGCCCTATTGCTCTTGAAAGCTGACCAGTTATTTTTTATGACCAGTAAACATAAAGGTATGCATCATAAATAACATTTATAATAAAATTTTCACCACAAATGAAATATTCTCAAAGGGGAACTTTGTTAATTATCTGTTGCTGCGCAATGAATGAGTCTAAGACTCAGTAGCTTTTAAATAACATTTATGATCTCACAGCTTCTGTGGGTTAGGCATTTGTGAGTGGCTTAGCTCACTGGTTCTGGCTCAGGGTCTCTCATGGGGCTGCAGTCAAGACGTTGGCCAGGGCTGTGTCATCTGAAGACTTAACTGAGGCTAAAGAATCTACTTCCAGCGTGGCTCACTCACATGACTGTTGGCCAGAGGCCACAGTTGCTTATTGGTTCTTGGCAGGTGACATCAGTTCCTCAACATGTGGGCCTCTTCATAGGGCTGCTTTAGTGGTCTCATGACATGACAGCTGGCTTCTTCAGAGCAAGTGATCCAAGAGAGAGAGCAAGGAGGAAGCCATAGTACCTTTTATGTTCAAGTCTTTGTAAGTGACAAAAGGTCACACCTGCCACATTCTACTCATTAGAAGTGAGTTACTGAGTCCTGCTCACGCTCAGGGGGAGGGGAGCTAAGGCCCAACTCTTGAAGGGAGGCATATCAAAGAATTTGTGATTCTGTAGTTGGAAGGAGAGGTTTCTCTCACTTTGTCCTGAAAAGATTGGCCTCAGGACAGCCGTTCTTATTTATGCAAACCAACATGGGGCAACCAGTCATTTCCATAGGGAAAATCAGAAATCAACTTCCACTTTGCCATTCAGATGGGAAATAGACCTGGATACTCTCTTTTACTCTGCTCATATCTTTATAGGTTGGGAACTATGATTCTTGCCCATAAAACCTGGGGGAATTCTTTAATACATGGTGTATTTCATCTTTGCACACAATTGTGGTAATATTTTGTAGGTGTGGGCATTCCAGTGCCCATTCCAACCACCTCACTGGACACTTGGGTTGAGTTGGCCACCCAAGTTGCCTGGACAGGTGTGTCCTTTGTCATCCTCCGTTATTCTATTACATATTGTCTTTTGAAACTCTCAACTTGAATGGTCAGGATAATAGACGAGGCTGTGCTTCAGGCCAAGGTAGATCATAAGATGCAGAAAAATTGTCATTTCGGAAAGCAAAACCCAGTGAAGTAAAGTGCATTCCTGGACAACTGCTTCTCATCCTTAATGAGACAGAGCAGAAAAGAGGCAATTGCCCATTATCTGAGAAAGGGAAGCCTAAATGCACTTAATTCAGATATCTTAAAGGAAGATCTTCTATGAATCCTAACTTGGGAAATGCCAGTCCTTAGGATGGAATAGCCAGGTCCCTGACAGGAAAGTGGGGGTAACTCCTTTCAAGGAAAAAGGGTCAAATTGTATCTGGTTCTGGATCTAATTCAACTTGACTACTTAGTAGTAAAGATAAATTGAACCCACAGAGAAAACTGAAAATAGCATTTTCCTGGCAGGTCCGTCAATGGACTTAGTGTGTTTAGATTTATGAGGGGGCGAATGACCTTCTCTGCCTTGGTGTTTCACATTTTCGTTTTTCCAGGACTGCTTTTCCATCTGGCCTAACCAGAGCCTGAAGTTGCTGAATCAAGCAGAGCCAACAGGTCTGACTTGAGCTGGCTGGAACATGCACACGACTGGGAAAGACAAATAGGCTCCTTTCTGAAAGGCCTATCAAGCAGAAGTTCGAGTCCCCCTCCTCCCCGCCTGCCAGGAGCACAGTCCTGAGAGAGAAGACATCCAGGTCTTCCAACACCACTGCCCATCGAGCAGTAGCAGGCCTGGGGGAGTGACTGTCCAAGAAGCTGGCTGTGGGAAGAGGAAGGAGACCATTATTAAGTGCAAGAATATTGTCACACAGACCTGGTCCTCCTCCCAGAGTCCTGGGCCACCAGGGCCAGAGAAGGCTAGGCGGTCAAGTGATTTCTGGCAGCCCCAGAGAAACATGGAAGAGTGCAAGTTTCTCCACACCCAAGAAGGGCTCAGGAGGAGCGGAGCACCCATCAACCTCGGAAGCATCTGACAGAAGTGACAAAGAGACATTGCAGCAGAAAACAGCCAGACCGAGCAGGGTCATGGACTCTTCCGGAATGCCAGACGCCAGAGGTGGGCTGCCTCTCCTTGCCAGGCTGCCACCTAGGTTCCCCATGCTAGCAGAGAAGGAAAACAAGAGAGAAAATCCAGAACTTCGATGAAAAGACAGAAACACAGAGGTTTTGTAGAAATGGGTAAGATCACATGTTCTAACAATAAGCATGTGAAGTGTCATTACAGAAAATAATGTGCTGTTTCTTGCACACCCAAGTTTGTGGCTTAAGAAAATTCAGACCATTTCTCTTTCTCTTCTTATACTTGTCCCTGGTTTTCACGTCATACAGAGGAAAAGGGCAGTTTGGGCTTAGTGCGTCTCTCAGTGGCTCAAGAGGTGACAGCACCGGAAAGCCTCCCAGACGAGAGGTCAGAAAATATTTTCTTTAAAGGGCCAGGTAATACATATTTTAGGCTTTGTAAACTATACACTGTCTGCTGCAGTCCTCCAGCTCTACCACCACAGTACAAAGGCAGCCATAGACAATAAAGGAATGGGCGCAGCTGTGTGCTAATAAAACTTTATTGTGGACACTCAAATCTGAGGTTCATATAGTTTTCATGTGTCACAAAATATTCTTCTGATTTTTTTTACAAGTGCTTAAAAATGTAAAAGCTAGGGGCATCTGGGTGGCTCAGTTGTTAAGGCAGACGCCTTTGGCTCAGGTCATGATCCCAGAGTCCTGGGATCAAGCCCCACATCGGGCTCCCTGCTCAGCGGGAAGCCTGCTTCTCCCTCTCCCACTCCCCCTGCTTGTGTTCCCTCTCTCGCTGTCTCTTTGTCAAATAAGTAAATAGAATCTTAAAAAAACCTTTAAAAAATGTAAAAGCTATTCTTAGTTTGCAGGCCATACAAACACAAGTGGTGGGCTGAATTTGGCCCACAGGGGGTAGTTTGCCAACCCTTGTTTCAGACCGACCACTGCTCTCCATACCAAGAAGGGATGCACTTACATTCATGGTTCTGGGTTAAAAAGGTCTGATTCCTTAGCAAAATGCCCAGGAGATACCATCTCCCTGGAAATCATAGAATCTTTTCTCTGGGAATCAGCCTTTTAACGTAGCTTCAAGGCAAGTGGCAAGCTTTACACCTGACTTAGAAAGGCCACAACTCACATTGAAACTGCCACTGTATAACAGAAGGATCAGCCGGGCTTTGAGCCCCAGGAAGACAGGGCCTGTATCTGCTTCCCCTACCGCTGTACTGCTGGGGTCTGATGTACTATCTGATACGGAGTAGGCATTCAACAAATGTTTGTTGATTGAATGACTGAGTGATTGAAAAGTCCTTCGCAGCACTTTTCAAAACTGTTTCACTCCGACTTACACGAGTTATACAACTCTCACTCTAAAAATGCCCATAACAGTGATTTAGAATTCAGAAGACTCATCATGCATAAATAGAAGATTTTCTTCAAAAGTTGGACCAAAATTCCATGTCAGTGTGAAACTACAAAGCCAGTGTGAGTTCTGCCTAAGAGAGGATCCATTTGTACCGAGAAACTAAAGAAAAGTCACTGCGAATATCAGAGACGGTCTTGGTGAGGCAGGTGCCACCTGAGCCTCTCTCTTGACATTAATTTTTACCTAGGAAGGTGAGCTCCACCATTATGCCCATGATATGAAAAAGCCCCCTGGGAAACTTAACAGAGACCCAGGATCCAAGAAGAGCCAATACCAAAAACCCCGCTGCTCTGTGCGAAGTTGGCAGGTCTCTCCCCATTAAGCCATACAGCATCCAGGCAGAAGAGAGCAAACCCAGCGACCACACAGCCGGTGGCTACCTTAGTTCAGCATTAAATAAGAATAAGCTTCATAGCTCTCCTTTTAAAGTTTTCTTTTTTAAATCCCAAGTAAATTTGCAAAGGGAATCATGAGAACGTGGGAGACTCTGGGATGGTAACTAATGTGTGGTACCAAGACGAAGCAAAAGAAAAAGATCAAAGATTAGTTTCTCTAAGCTGGGTGGCACCTTGGCACCGAATCCTGGGAACAGATGCTGGCTGATTTGAATTAAAAAAGAGCAGAAGTAGCCAAAGATAAGAAATAATTGGCTAAAAGATACAAAGCCATACTTTTGACTGGGGACAATAAAGTTTTCCAAGCAGATGTTAGAATAACTGCCTTTTCAAACACAACTCCAAGGAAAACCGGGAGAAGAAAAGCATTATTAGATATTTTCCTCCAAAGTTTAAATTAAGACATGGTCAGAGAAGAGGAGACCCCTTCCAAAACCTCAGCAGGATAAATCAATCTAGTGGAGGCCTTTGTGTTCCAGAAGAATGATGTCAGAACTCATCCCAGGAAGAAGAAAGAAATGTTTGCGCGAAAGGTCACTTGAGAACTATAAAGATAAATGCTATTTGTAATGACTTAAAAAGGCTTCCAGGAAGGAGCGGAGTCAACTCACTGTTTCAGAATCAATGAAAAAGGAAAAACTCTCCTGACTGAAAACTTCCAGGGTCATTTAGACATTCTAGA